TGTGTGGTATGTGGTTGTTGGTGAGTATTTGCTTCAGGTTGCGGGGCTGTCTGTAGGCAAGGACTGGCCTGTCTCCCAAGACTTGTGAGAGTGTTGGGTCATCCTTTAGGATAGGTTGTAGATCCTTAATAATGCGTTGGAGGGGTTTGTGAATGTCTTCAAGTCAGCAGGGCCTGAGGAAATTCATCCTAGAATATTTAAGGATTTGGCTGAAATGATCCCTGAGCCATTAGCAATTAACTTTGAGAACTTGTGGAGGACAGGAGAGATCCCAGAGGATTAGAAAAAGGCAAATATAGTACCTATCTATAAAAAGGGGAATACGAATAACTCGGGGGAATTATAGACCAGTCATCTTAACTTCAGTATCTGGAAAGATAATGAAGCAAATAAACAATCAGTTTGTAAGCACTTAGAAGATAATAAGGTGATTAACAGTCAGTGTGGATGTGTCAAGAACAAACCATATCAGACCAATCTAGTATCTTCCTTTGACAGATTAATCAATCTTGTGGTAGGGGAAAAACAGTAGATTTGATATATCTCAACTATAGTAAGGCTTTTGATACTGTCTCACATGACCTTCTTATAAGGAAACTAGGAAAACATAGTTTAGATGAACCTACTATAAGGTGGGTGCACAACTGGTTGGAAACCCTTACTGAGAGAGTGGTTCTTAAGGGAACTGAAAGGGTATATCTAGAGAGGTCCTTCAGGTATCTGTCACAGGTCTGGTTGTATTCACTATCTTCATAAATGATTTGGATAATGTCAGGGAGAGTACACTTATTAAGTTTGTGGACGATACCAAGCTGGGAGAGATTGCAAGAACTTTGGAGGACAGGATTAAATTCAAAATGATCTTGACGAACTGAAGAAATGGCCTGAAATAAACAGGATGAAATTTAATAAGAAGAAATGCAAAATACTACACTGAAGAAGGAATAATCAGTTGCACAAATACAAAATAGGAAACGATTGCCTAGGAAGGGGTAGTGCAGAAAAGGATCTGGGGATTATAGTGGATCACAAACTAAATATGAGTCAACAATGTAATATTGTTGCAAAAAAAGTGATCATTCTCAGAAGTATTAGCAGGAGTGTTGTAAGCAAGACATGAGAAATAATTCAAGACTGAATAGACCTCAACGGGAGTCCAGTTCTGAGCACTACACTTGGAGAAAGATGTGGACAAATTGAAGAAAGTCCAGAGGAGAGCAACAAAAATTATTAAAGATCAAGAAAACATGTCCTATGAGGAAAGATTGAAAGCACTGGGTTTGTTTAGTCTGGAGAAGAAAAGACTGTGGGGTGAGGGGGGGGGAGATAATAGTCTTCAGGCATGTGGTTATAAAGAGGAGGGTGATAAATTGTTCTTCTTATCCCCTGAGACAAGACAAGAAGTAATGGTCTTAAATTGCAGGTTAGACATTAGGAAAAACTTCCTAACTGTAAGGATAGTTAAGCACTGGAACAAATTACTGAAGGAGGTTGTGGAATCTCTGCCATTGGAGGTTTTTAAGACCAGGTTAGACAAACATCTGTCACGGATGGTCTAGATAATACTTACTCCTGCCTCAGTGCAGGGGACTGGACTAAATGACCTGCTGACATCCCTTCCAGTCCTATATATCTATGATTCTATGGGCCAGGTGAAGGGCCACTGGAATAGAATGGTTGTGGTTGCTGTTCCACCCCATGTGCTATAGTCACAGCCATTGAAGACTTGGGTCAGGATAAGTGGATTTGACCTCCCCCATCTCTTTGCACTCCATCTCTACAGAGCCCAAACGTTCAGACTTTTCTGTTCATGGAACGAATTTCTGCTTAGCGAATAAAATATTGAAATGAACACTTCTGTCAGTGAGAACAGAAGCAGCAGAATTGCGGCTAGATGATTACAAAATCAAAGTATATTTTATAAATTCTCCATTATTCAATACATTGTTTTAGAGCCTCATTAACTCCAGTGGTAACAGTTTTGATGAGCCAGGATATTACACATCCATTGCTGAGCAGTAAAAAGTCAGTCAAAACTACTTTTCATATGACAGATGCCCCCGATGCAGTTAACACCACTTTAAGCATTAAGGCCATGTCCTTGGGATGTAAATTAGCTTCTGTCTCAGCTTCCTACCACACCATGCTCTGATCCTGTGTCTATGTGGATCATGGACATTTCTTTTTTTAAAAAAAGCAGTGAAATAAAACGCATAAATTCCTGATCCATCACTTTTCAGACAATGGGCGATTCTCCACTGACTAATTGTAAATTGGACCAAGTCCAGAATGAATAAACTTAGATGGCAGTACATTTAATTTCAATGTGTCCTACCATTCTGCAACGCTTGTCCTTAAAATTTTACTATTTGCTGTAATGCTTAAGCTTAGATTTATGCTTAAGAAGTTATGAGCATGGATCTGTACCTTAGCTGAATCCCATTAGTAATAATTCTTTATGCTATAATCCTTTTGAAATGCTTTAGCACTGAAGACAAAAAATGTGAACTATGGATACCTCCAGACATAAAATTGTTTGGAAAACTTTGGGGTTTTAGTCCACATGGCCTTCCTCTGAACTGGTACATACTCTAATCCTTAATGGCATCACTACAGCTACTCCCCTGAATGGTTTCAGAGTAACAGCCGTGTTCGTCTGTATTCACAAAAAGAAAAGGAGTACTTGTGGCACCTTAGAGACTAATACATTTATTTGAGCATAAGCTCAAAGCATAGCTCACGAAAGCTTATGCTCAAATAAATTGGTTAGTCTCTAAGGTGCCACAAGTACTCCTCCCCTGAAAGAGGCACTTTTAGGGGTGATATCAAGTATTCAGGAGATTGGCTCTTTGGCTTAATATCACTCTTACAAATATATCCTGGCAAATGGACATAACACACATAAAAACAATATGAAATATCCAAAAAGAAAGATCTGACCCACCCATATCTAATTTTTTTTAAGTTCAGCAAACAAAGATTATCCATGTGTTTTAAAAAAGTAAAAACTTCCTAATGTCAGAGTTAGATATCATCTCTTCAGAAATATAGAGGTGATTACTAGCTTCCCAATGGGACCCAACACTTGCTTATTCTAGCCCTAGAGGAGCTTAAGAGAACAGTCTTTAAAGACATGGCATTTTAAGATGCCACAAAGCTACTTTAAATGATTATTTTAAAGACATTTTCATGCATCTCTGAGCCCTGTACTATTGGATTAGGGCATTCTGCATAGCTGCATTGACTTCAGTGTGTTGTCTATAAAAATGTGGTATTTACAGAATATTGGATTGTGTGGTATGGTATAAGGATTTTCTCCACACTTTTTCTGGGATGGTCTGCAGAATCCCTGGAGGATTTACTACTCCTGAGTAATGTGGCCATCCCAGTTTCATGCTAATGAAACACTTAGGGCTCGGCCACACTTGCGAGCTAGCTCACTACCCATCCGCACTGGCAAGGCACGTAGAGCGCTCTGACTCCAGGGCTAGAGCACTCCTGGTACTCCACCTCGGCAAGAAGATTAACGCTTGCTGTGTCTTGGCTGAAACGCCCCGGCATCAGTGTGAACGAGGTGTTGCATTACTGCGCTCTGATCAACCTCCGAAAAGTCTCATAATCCCCTTAAGTCAAGTGGCCACTCTTCTCATTGTTTTGGAATTGCTGCAGGAATGTGGATATGCCCTTTGAAAGCTCTGTTTCTGACAGCCGGCTGCTTATCTGCTCCAAGACAAAGCAACCATTACTGTGGAATGCTGGGTGTGAGAGAGAGGCGGGGGGGGGGTCTGCTGCTGTCTGAACTTACAAGGCAGCATGCTGACATGCTGTCAGCCCCCCCCAAAACCCACTCTCTCTCCCCCCACATACACACAACTCCCTGTCACACTCCACCCCCCCATTTGAAAAGCACATTGCAGCCACTTGCATGCTGGGATAGCTACCACAATGCACTGCTCTCTGTGGATATTACAAGAGCTGATAATGTGGCTACACCAGCGTGCTTGTAGCTGTCAGTGTGGACAGATTGCAGCGCTTTCTTTACTGCACTCTACAAAGGCTGGTTTAACTCAAAGCGCTCTACGTCTGCAAGTGTAGTCATGCCCTTAGATTGCAAAGGCAATAGCTGGGGCAAGGGTCATCTTTATGTTCTGTGTTTGTACAGAGCCTAGCACAATGTCCTTAACTAGGGCTTATAGGCGCTTTGATAGTACAAATAAATAATAACAATAATAATAATAAATGTATGAGCACTTAAATTTCTAGTATTTGTTGTTTTCTTTCAGAATCTTAAAATATTATGTACACAGCTTTTCAAGAGCAGACATAAATTACCTTAGATAAACATTTAGCAGTTTATGCTTACTTATGTAAAGTTCAGAGCCTCTAGATATATTCATTCTATCATGTATAGCACTGAATTAGGCAAATGTGACAAGTCAACTGACATTCGTGCAAGTTCTTGGCATTAGATTAATTTAGATTAATTTCTCTATACATTCTTTCATAGACTTTCATTTGATTTCTCTGCCAAGTAGCCATCAAAACAATTCCTGGGTGAGGTTTTTGGAGCAGGTGTTAGCTATGGAAAGCTATTCAGTATTAACCATACCTGCCTTACCTCTACAAACTTTGGAGACACCTTTTTTTCCCCTGATTACTGTTCTTTCACAAAAGGCCTGATTTAAAGTATCTGTCAAATCAAATCTCTGGTTTCCCTCTTCTCCCCGCATTAATTGGGCATCTATTATGTTTGGGTGGGAAGGAAGGAGGCTCTAGGCTGATATAGCAATACTGCTGGGAAAAGAACATTAACATGGATAAAGGGATTTCCTAGTGGTATAAATACCTGCACACGACCTCCCTGTGCTCTGGAGCCCTTGTTTATGTATATATGCAAGTTAAGAGAACTGGAATAGAGTTTGACTGCTGTTAATCAATAAGGATATATTTTGTTAGAAAATAGGGGAAGGTGTTTCTTTGTCTTTTCTCCTTTTGTGGGAATGAGTTGCCAAGCATTTACTTCAGCTGACACCTTCGTCCCCTTGAATTCTGACTCTTCTCCCGCTCTGCCTCTGATAATGCATCATAGCGCTGCAGAATGCTTGCCCGTCTCCAACCATGCTACCAATGTCGTGTCTACAGGTACTTTTTTACTAGAACAATTACACTCTTGCTAACTTTCTTTTTAAATGCTTTTCCCTCTTTCTGTAAATGTTGCCAAACTTAACACAGAGATAGGGAAACACAGGCAGAGCTATTTCATATCAGCTCTGCAGTGACTGGGGACTACCTTAAAGCAGGAAAGTTTTCACAAGGCTATGTAAAAATGAATACATCTAGAGCGACTAAAATGTCTGCATTTTAGCCAAGTTTGTAGCTATCTCTAAATTTGTTATGGGATTAGGTTGAGGTATTTGACCAGCACAGTGAGGTACTGGCTACAAATACTATCAAACTTTTGTAACATAAAATAGTCTTCAGTGACAAACGTCTCCTGAAATAAACCAAATTATATTTTGCCTATGAAACTGCAGTTTATAAATATATAAATGTATGATTTCAAATGGGTGATATACTTAAAATGAGGCAGATGCTGATGGCAATAGCTGGGGAAAATACCCATTAATGGGAAAATTAACATTTTAATAAATGCTGAGTAAAGACACTGGGATTTGGGTGAGATTTTCAAAAGCGCCAAAGTTACTTAAGTGCATCGGACCCATCCTTCTGTATTTTGGAATGTGGTACCTTTATCTGACTAGGAATTTTAGTATGTTAAAACTGAACAAAAATCAAAATGTTTCCACAGAAAATGTGCTTGCTACCTGAAAATGTACAGAACTGGAGTTTTATCTCATTGGCATTTCTGTTTTTTTGAATGAATGAAAATAAACTTTCATAAATAGAGAGAACTGAATATTAATTTCAGCTAACCCACTGACTCAAATTGAGTTGCATGGAGGAGAGAATTTTACTAGATGTCTTCAATAAAACGATGATCTCTTGTTAAGCATACTGGAAGTAACATCTTTCAGTTGGAAGGAAAATGAACCACTTAAGTACAGTACACTACACAGAAAATTGAGAGTATTGATGACAATATGATTGCATGTATTAAATAGGGGGTTCAAAATGTTTCATAGTGCTTGTTAGAAAAACATAAGAGAACTTAAATTAGGGAAAAGAGGACAAATTTCTATATCCATTTTATGGTAGCACTTTCTGAATTGTTTCATTTCCCACATGCTCCAAAGTAAAGAATTAAATGAACACATGTTGGCTGAAAATATCACCACATCCTTTTACTAAGTCTATGCTGTGGTGTTTAATAATCATAGGCCCAGTTCTTCAGTCCTTCATAAAGCACAAATCCCACTGAAGTCAATGGAAATTTTGCCTAATAAGAAATGCAGAATCACATTCTATTTTATTGTATTATTGCCCAAGAATGCCAGTGTACAGTCCTAGAAGAAAGAAAAAGTGGGTGAGGAAATCTCTTTTAGCGGACCAACTTCTTTTGGTGAAAAAGACAAGCTTTTGAGCTACACCCAGCTCTTCAGGTCTGGGAAAGGGGGAAATGAAGAAGAACTCTTTGTAACTTGAAAGCTTGTCTCTTTCACCAACACAGGTTGGTCCAATAAAAGATATTACCTCACCCAGCTGGTTTCTCTAATATCCTGGACCCAACACAGCTACAACACAAAGAAAGCAGTAATAGAGAGAACATTTATTTGTATTAGGGGAAAGGTTCTAAGTTTTTAATACAGATGACAAGAACTGTAATACACAGTGCTATGGTGAGTCAGTGTAAAGAACTTGTGCAAAGAAAGAAATGTATAAGGATTTTTACACAATCATTATTTAATTCTTTTTTTAAAATGACAAAATCCCTCACAATGCGTCTGGGCCTTGTAGCGCCGTTGCATATGAATTAATTTTGCTAACTGGCAAGTAAGTGAACACACACACACAAAAGCAAAGATACCTCATCATAAACTTTAGACAAGTACATGTTATCTGTGTGCTATATATATTATTAAAGATATGTTCTGGAGTAGATTTTATTTAAAAAAATATCTTAGCAATGTAAGACTTCACTCCTGCATCTGCTATTAAAATATTGCCAGGAAGTTGGAAATGTCAGTCTTTTATGTCTGAAAATCATGGGATGTGTGGATTAGCAAATTGCAGATTGGCAAAATTCAACAGTAAACAAGTAATTCAAAATAAGTCTTTAACTAAGACTTTTTGTCTAAGCACAAATGTTGTACAGCTTTATCTATACTGTGTAGTTTAAAGCAGTACAGTCCCTAGTGTGGATGCAGGTATGCTGGTATGAATGTGCTTTACCAGTATAGTACGGAAAGGAGAATAAGCAATACCTATCTAAGGTCCCCTATAGATCATTACGTTAACAGTTTTGCCATACTGCAGAAATCCTTCTGTGCATTTATACAGCTCAAAAGAATCAAAGACACCAACATAGTTCTGTAGTCTTAGCGACAATTCATATACAATCCAGTACTTTAAAAATATCCACTTGTTTGTATCTGTTTTTCCTTTTAGTCCCAGAGCAAGGGTGAAAGAAATGCAAATTTCTCCAGACTGTTCTAACAACATGCTTCAGCTTTGATGTAGAAGGATTAGCCATGAATAGTAACCAAGTCGTGCAGTTCTCATGTCTATCTTTCCTTGGTCTCTCTGCTGCGGCTGCCAACACAGGAGCCTATTTGTGACTAGGTTTTCTGTGATGTGGACACAGGTCCAAGAAGACATGAACAACTCCCACAAACTCAGTTAACTTAGCCCACTGAATTGCCATCCCACTGAATTGCCAATATTGAAATTACAGTTAGGAATACCCAGTTTGAGTTGTCCTGAGTTCCTGAACGAGCCCTGATGTGGGATTCCGTGTTGTTGGGGTCACTTGGAAGCAAGGTGAATTTCTGAAAGGGTCAAAAGCATGACCTCTTTATTGTTTGAGGGAGAGGGCTAAATCCATTATTTGGAAGCAACAGACTCATAAACTTCTTTCATGGATCAGCCATTAGAGGGAGACAATATATTCTCATTCTGTGGGATTTAGCACATCTCCACGCATCTTTAATATACAACATCTTCAAAAACCAGACTTCCTGCTTTGCATGCATACAGAAATGCATAATAGATTTTGGGGATACTGATGCTAGACATTACAGAGCAGAGATATGAACCTTCAATCTCTTCATTAGAGTCAGCCAAAATTATTAATATTTTTATTTACAGAATTGACCAGCAATAGCTCAACATTTGAGGATACAGAAAACTTTACAGAATATTTTGTCAGTTTAAAATGCTGCCCTACACAGCTAATAATTTTATTATTGTGGGTCATGCTGCTTCTTAAACCCTTACCTGGTTTCCGGAGATGCCTGATACATAATAGTGTAGCCAAGCAAACAATGGAATCTATTTCCTTGTTCTCTTCTTCAAACTTCTGCCAGCCATCCCACTGCCTGCCAGACACCTGTGCAAACTATGGAGACAAAGTGCATGTGGGTCTATTGCTACTGCTATTGCAAAATGTTGCCTAAATTTTCAAAGTTTTGAATGTCTCTACTTTTGAAGGACCATCTGAAGACACCTTAAAGGGCCCTGGTTTTCAGAGGGTGGGTGCTCAGCACTTCTGAAAATCAGACCCTTTTAAGGTGTCTCCAGGTGAGTGCCCCAAATCACTGCATGCACAAATGTAGGCTTTACTCTACATAGAAAATTGTCCTCTTGGTTATATATGCTTCTTTTAGGGTTTTCATTTTAGGGGCTGATGGACTTTTCAAGAACTTAGAAAAGATTAAAATAAAAATAGATGGAACAGTATTGGGGGCCTGATCTTCATACACATGTAAAGAGGAGAGCTTGTCAGGATACCTAAATTATTACACTTGAGATAATAAATTTAAAAACCGGGCAAGATAAATCATTGCTCTTGGCTAAAAGCGAGCTAGCCAGTTTTCTGATGAGGCATGAGCACCTACTATAGGCTGTTTCCTACAGAATTACCTTGAGAGTTAAAAAGCAGCATAGAATGGTTAGCATGCAGGCAGAAACAAAGTACAAAGATATTCTCTACCTCTGGACTGAAAGGATGTATCTTGAATCCTCATACATTTTCTTACCAGTCCCGTCTGTTTTGTCTTTGGTCCATACTCCTAAATGTTCCCACGTGCACTTCTCCATGGCAACTTTGGGAAACGCATCTACAGGTCTTCATTATTCAGTCCCTTCCTGTCATTATGGAAACCAACAGTCTACCTATGGGGTGATGGCAGGTAAGAGATATTCACTCTAACAGGTTAGTTATTGGCATGATTGTTTGAGGGGATTTTCCTTCAGAGGGGTTGAGGGAATGGAGGTTAATGAGAGGTAGGATGGCCTCATGGTTAAGGCACTGGACTGGGACTCAGGAGAACTGGGTTCAGTTTCATGCTCTCTCTCAGCCTCTATCTGGGGATCCTGAGCAAATCACTTACTTTCTCTGCCTCACTTCCTTGTCTGTGACACTGGGATAATGCTTCCTTTCTCTCACACATTGTCTGTCTTGTGCACTTAGATTGGAAGCTCTTTGGGGCTCTTTCTGCCATTTCTGTATATGGCTCCAGTGCACTGGGGCCCCAATCTTACTTGGGGCCTCAGGGGCCCTATGCAGTACAAATAATAAAAATTATAACTGATTATGGAATTTGTATTGAATTCAGGGAGGTAAATTCAGCACCGGACGTAGCTGCTTCAGAATAATCCACCCAGGGCGAGATCAATTAAAGAAACAAAAATAAATGGAGTGCCATTTTTGGTACTCATAAAACTTGTGACAAGGTATCAAACATTCCATTAATTGTGACTCAGATTTTGGCTGGTGAACATTCTGTTTCTCAATCCAGAGTCCCCACTCCTTTCCCTGAAGCTGACTTGGAGCAGGTAGGGAAGAAAAAATGAAAAGTGCATTTTCTGGATTCCCTCCTCCCCCATGTTGTTCTTCCCTCCCAGTCACTCCTGATACAAACAAAAAGTGTGAGGTCACACCTTAACAGCTGGTAGCTATGGGTGATCAGGATTGTTCCTTATACTCACAATTAAAATCACACTGTTATGTGATAGTGTGGCTAGTATATCTGGGACACCACTATACCTTGTTATAAAACATCAAGGGAAATATCCGGGGCCTGACATGGTTTAGTAGGTATAAGAAGCATTAGTCTTGCAGAGACTGTTGCAGGCATTATGATTAATAATAGCCTGGCAAGCTTTGAAATAGGAACTTATGTTGAGTAATAACAACTTGCTTTCAACCAGAGTAAACACATCAGGGGTGGTTTCTTTTCACAGAAATACTGTAGCTGACATGTAGGAATCTCAGTCCTTCAGAGTGAAAGGAAATGTATGTGAAGGCCAAAGAGAAATCACTTAATTCAGTTTATGCTTTTCCAAATCTCATGGAGCAATATGAACTGTTTTCACACAGAGGATCCATAGACTTTATGACATAACTTGTAAAGATGTCTTAGCACCCAATGCAGTTCTCTAGATACCACACTGAAGAGAGAAGAGAAATTGTTCAATATAAAGGTGTTCAAGTCAAGTGTCAACCAGGAAAATAATGTAGTAATGCCAGGGGAAGAGACTTGCCAGGAAATAACTATGGCTCAAAACTAATCCAAAATCAAACACAGCATTTTATTTCCATTGAGAAGGAGGGAAAATGTAAAAATGAATCAGCACAGGTGAATGTTTCCTCATGCAGACTTTTCTGGGACAGCAAGTAAGACTCGTTCTTCACATGGCCAAATGCTCCTGCTTCTGTGTCTCTTCTTGTGTCTCTGGTACAGAAATTCTTGTTTAGATCTCTATGGGAAGTCTACAGAAGAAGAATCATTAGATGAGGAGGATTTCCATTCAGAAATATCAACCTATTTCTACACCAAAAGAATTCCATGATACTGCAGTCTCTCCTTTTTTCCCACTTCCTTTTAGGCATCAAGCCTGCAACCCCAGAGATGTTATCAGCAAGTCTCTCCCAGAGTCGCATTTTACAGACCTGCAGCATGCCCCATCCCAACGTGGTGAATGGAGTCAGCACTCTGCAAGGCAAGGCCTTCTCTTGTTTAGACTTTTGCCTTTCTGACATTTAACAGCTCCCTCTCCTTTTTCACAGTCATACTGCACATGACTTTATATATCAATAGGGTTAGAACCTCCATTGTATTTCCAGCCCTCTGGAGGATGTATCTAAGCAGTGAACAAGACAAGAAGAACAAAAGAGAAGGAAGAGAAAGGAAGGATGGTCTTGTGGTTTAGATGCTGGGCTGGAGATGTGGGTTCACTTCCAGACTAGGCTACAGACTGCATGACTGGGCAAGTCAATTACTCTCTTGATTCCCCAGCTCTAAAATGGGGGTAAGAATTTTTCTTTTCTCCCTCCCATGCTTTGTCTGCCTTGTCACTTCAGAGAGACAAGGTGGGCGATATCTTTTATCGGACTGACTTTTGTTGCTCAATAAAAGATATACCTCACCTACCTTGTCTCTCTAAAATTCTGAGACAGACACTGCTACAACAACAATGCAAGCAACAATGGAAGATATCAAATTTTGTCTGTTCAGCTCAGGGAGTCTCTCTGTTTGTTCAGTGCCCAGCACAAAGGGCACCTGCTCTTGATTAAATGGTGCTGTATCGTCCAATAGTGAATAAAATTTAGCATAAAGTAGTTCATACTTGTGCAATTACTTTCCTCTCTAAAATTATAATGTGACGATCTTATCATTCTTTGGGCTTCATCCTGTACTCTTTACTCAAGGAAATTTCCATTGAAATTGGTTGTATATAGTACCGAATCTGCATATCACATGTAGTTTATAAAGTAGTATTGTTGGTACCAGAAAACAAACAAAGACTATGGGCCAGATCCTCAGCTAGTGTAAACTGACATAGGTCCATTTACTTCAATGAAAGCAATGCAAATTTACACCAGTTGAGGACCTGTCCCAGTATAAGTCTATCTAAGGTACTTGTATGGCCCTCATTCTCATAGTATTTGAACACTTCATAGCATATAGTACTATTATTCACATTTCACAGATAAGGAAATGAGGCAAAGTATGACAGTTCAGGGAATTGAGCCCTGGTCTCCCAAGTGCCAGGCTGATGCCTTAACCACTGGACAATCCTTCCTCTCTCTAGTATGTAATATTACAAAGCTTAACAGTTGATAGTTGACACAAAGGTTTATTACGCAATGCTGGAGAATGATTATATCAAATTGTGCTTTTTGCCTTCATGCAGGTGGCCTGACCCCTTGCCTTTATAAATTTCCTGAACATGCTCTCAGTGCTAGTTCCTGTGCTCTGGGGCATGGCTTCACTCCCATGCACCAGTCTATCCTTGGAGATGATCCCACAGCCACTGACTTCAAGCAGGAATTCCGCAGAAAAACCAAGTCTGTTGAAGAGCCAATAGACATGGATTCCCCTGAAATCAGGGAACTGGAAAAGTTTGCCAATGAGTTCAAACTGAGGAGAATTAAGCTAGGTATGTGCTTTGTACTAGCCTGAAAATCCAAATGAAAGCTCAATTATTTCTGTATGTTTTATATTCTAGTCCATCTGATATGCTTTATAATTTAAAACCTGCCTCACGTTTACCAAGCTTTCTCCATACCTAGAAGACTTGTTTAGAACTAATTGCCTCAAGCTTTTTGCAACTTTTTGCAAGAACAGTAAGTGATTTTAAAACTTTCTGCTCTATCTACTACTTCTGTCTGCCTCTGAGAGCAGATTATTGGTACCTGGACTAGCTGTATTCTAGGGGAAAGTGTGATCAATCACATAAATCATACTGTAAAGTTGCATTTAATTCAGCCTTTCAGGATTGTCATGGAAATTTGCCAAACCGGGTACAAAATCTACTTGTTACTATGATAGTGAAAAACCTAAGGATACTTTGCCTGTCAAAAATTATTCACCACGGCAGTTGTACAAGTTGTAAGGCTGATTTAAGGTATGATTTAGACACAAAATGACACATTTTTAAATGATTTCAATGGAGTTGGACAGGAAATTATTTTTATCCTGTGAAAAATTGATGAAAGTGAAATTTTATTCATTTTCACCAAGCTTTTGGTTGCCCAAAACAGCAAAACATACATTTAATTTTTTTTTCATAAAACCCGTGTTTTAAAAAAGAAAGCAGCTGTTGTAGCAATACATTTCTATTTAGTCAAAAAGCCATTTTCATTTTAGATGGAAAATTTCCAGCCAGCTCTAGTCTTCAACCCTTCCTTTAAAATTGTACCCCAGGTTTTGTGGGGGCTCAGGGCTGGGGTGTGGGCTTACCTCAGGTGGCTCCTGGTCACCGGCGCAGTGGGGGGGGGCAAGGCAGGCTTCCTGTCTGTCTTGACTCCGTGCTATGCATGACTCAGAAACAGCCAGCAGGTCCAGCTCCTAGGCAGAAGTACGCCCGGTGGCTCTGCACACTGCTCTTGCCTGCAGGCACCGCTCCCGCAGCTCCCATTGGCCACAGGTCCATGCCCTATCTCTCACACATATATGCACTTCTGTTTGGCTCTTTGGGAACCTAGACTTCTCTCAGATTCACGTATTCCCTTGTCGCCGGGCCATGTCCCATCACGCATGATGATGCAATTTCTTTTCACTAAATGATCTCAATGTACAACATACAACAACCAAAACTGAGGAGCTCTCCCTCCAGTTTTAGGTTCATTTTAACCACTGCTGAGTATTGTGGTGACCATTTTGTTACCATCTGAGAACTACTTGGGGATGATATGAAATGTGTGGATGATCTCAGCTTGATTTCTGGTGGATAGATGTCCATATCATACTCACTGGCAACCTCAGCACCGTACAAAGATTAAATGGGCACTGGTGCTGGATTATCCCTATCACCCCTAGAGATTTCCCTCCATGACAAGATGGAAGCACACTGGTGGGGCAGTGTGAGGAAGCTTGGTCCTGTCTGTGCTGCACTGAAAAAAACGAAGTTGTATGTGTCAAACACTGCAAATCCAGCCCCTTCATGGATACTAAATTCACTTTGTGAATTACGAGTGGTCATTTTTAATTTTCTCCTATAACAATAGATTGTATCATTACAGAATATGGCATGACTCCACTGTAAAACACAGCTCTGTAAAAGCATGTAATTTATATGGCTGTAACAGCCATCTGTATTATCTCTAAAGCTACAGGGATATTACTATCCATTTTCCATACAGAAATGAGAGCTAGAGCAAGGGTATGGTGTCTGAAAGAGTGTTTACAACCTGTGCTGTTTTGCTGTATATCATGACTATTTAATGGTCAGTCACAGAAAGGGCAAGATTACCTATGCCCACGAATACTTCAGTAGTAATTATTTACAGTGGTTTGATCCTGAATTCCTGCACACTCAAAACGCCTATTGACTTAAACAGATGTGGCTGAACAGAGACTGCAGGATTGGTCTTAATGCCATTAATAAAAACGGGATGTACCAACAGCCTAAAGTCAAGTAGACAGTGCCCTGCTAGGGCAAAATGTTAACATTAATAACAGAGGGTTTGATACTGTGAGGTGCTTAGGATCCTCACTACCTACTAACGTCAATAGGAGGGGAAGACACTCAACACCTTGAGGATTATGCCCATTATGGGGAGGAGATAGAAGAAGACTTAGCTGTGTCTACAGTGAGGATTAGGCCGACCTAACTATGGTGCTCACTGAATGACATTTTTCTCAAGCCCTGAGCAATGTAGCTGGGTCGATCTAATTTTTCAGGTGTGGCCCAGGCCTGTGAGAGAGAGGCCCAACCCTGGAAATGGGATTGGAAATTGTGTTTTATTTTGTTGTTTACATTCTTCTTTGTATAATGGTAGTGCCTAGAGCCTCTGCTCATGGCTCAGGGCCCCATTGTGCTAGGCACTGGACAGATACATAATGAAAAGACAGACCCTCCCCCATAGAGTTTACAATCCAAGTATATGAGGAGAATCAGCAGGTGGACACAACAAACTGAGGGTAAATGAGATTAAACAGGAGGATAATGATTACTGTGAGAAGCAGCAGTCACAGCAGTTACAATGGTGTGAGTAAAAATCAGAGTATATTCTTAGATTTTAAAGTCTGAACCCTGAATTGTTCTTCTTTTCTGGGTTTAAATCAGACCCCTAATGTTAAAATAAACTTTTAATTCTGTGTGCAGAATTACTGCATGATCATTTGCTGTTGCTTCCTGCCTACATTATCATACTGGTCAAATTGCATGTGTCTCATGATAGACATGGGGACGGATGCTCATCTCACCTGTTTTACACTTTTGATCTCCACTGAAGACAAGAGAGATACACCAGAGTAAGACTGATGTCAGATCGAAACAATCAAAGAAAACACTTAAGGCAACTTACCAAAAAGTGTGTTTTGGGGGCAGTGACCAAGGTGGAATGTATCTTTCTGTAAATAAACCAGGTTAGGTTACTCAAGTTTTTTTTTCTTTATTGCTTTTTGACAGGCTACACACAAACAAATGTTGGAGAAGCCCTGGCTGCTGTGCATGGCTCTGAGTTCAGTCAAACAACCATTTGCCGATTTGAAAATTTGCAGCTAAGTTTCAAGAATGCCTGCAAACTGAAATTGATATTATCCAAGTGGCTGGAAGAAGCAGAACAAATAGGAGGTAGATATTTATAACGCCTCTAGAATTTAGTCTTACCCCTACAAGAAGCTCTTTAATGTATAAGATGGTTAGTAGTGTATAACTTCCACTGGTCCAGCTTTTTGTTTATTCAAGTGGGGAAGATGAATATAAATATTGTAGGATCAGTACATGCATTAAATTCAGTAGGACTGATGCCTGTGTCATGGGTAGAGGGAAGCAAACCTGCCAGAAACGTGTGGCAGGCACAAATTAGAGAGATGTGGCTCTCTTATATGTCCCTCATTTCCCTCAAGCCCATTCATGCAAACTAGCCCAGCTCTTGAGGTACAAGGCAGCTGGTTTTTGATGCACTGCCATTGAATTCTAGTCCGAAAGACAGCATAGCTGGCTGTGGAAGAATCACTGGTACAAGAAGATCTTCCAATGGTAGAGCGCTGGTGTTGAAACTCCTACACCAACTTGCTCCCTATTACAGGTGTAAGGGATGTGGCAATGGGAAAAGGAATGTGACTACCCAACACCATGCCCCCTATAAAAGTAGAAGGGGGGGGATACCATGGGAGTTTTAACATCTGCTCTTTGCCATCTTCCCTATGCCCTGAAAACCCCAGCTGCTGGATGAGCCCCTGGGATTCTGTGGCAGAGGCATGACTTAGGACATGATTTAGAATAGGTTAGCTGTTGTAAATTACATTGGAAGACCTGCCCAGCACATAACTGGCTCAGGATGAGGAGAGAGAAAAGCTCCTGGCAGTGTATGTTCCTTGGCCTTAAGCAACAATCTGAGCTACCATGTAGCTGAGGTTCTGCACGTCAGCAGATGGTATGCCGGGATGTTAAAAGAAAGCAGATCCAGATCCAAAGCCTCTCTCCCCTGTAGGATTCCTCTGAAGACCAAAACAGGTGAGCATGTGATTCTTTCATATACAGTATAGCTGACTCCTTCCTATTGAAGATCCAACTCAGCTTTGACAGAATTTCTCATCCGAGCCCCAAAATGGCTGATCCTTTCTAATCTCACAATCAAAGGTTGCCCTTTCAGAGGCATGGAATATGTGCTGGAGTGCCACCGACAGAGGACCTAATACACACTAGATTGGATTAAATCAGATCATGTATGTTCTATCACTGTCAAAATGACTTTACTGATCATTAAGGGAAGAGAAATGGTGTAAGTAAGAAGATACTTCCATTGTTATAGTAGCTTTTACCATTGCTATTTAACCCCTACATTTTTATCTGTTTGGTGCACTCCTGCTTTTTCCTCCTCCCAACCACAAATAACAGGGCGGAGCCTCAGGCGGAAGGGGCGGGGCTAGGGAGTCAGCCTCCCCCAGCCAGCCCTTCAGCGCTTCCCAGCCCGTGCCGCCTGGGGCTCCGGGTCCTTTTAAATCGCTGGCCCCGAGGCAGCTGCCCTTTTTGTTGCCTGTTGTTTGTTCTAGAAAAACATCCTTCACCTCCTCTTCTTAATTTGATGGTCTATAATAGACTCCATATCATCATGTCACCCTTATTTTATTCCCCATTTCTTTCCCAGAGACTTTCAAATGGTCTGCCTCTCATCTACTTCTGAACCTCAGATACATGTGTATATATTTTTGGTGTACAATGCCACACCACCTCCTTTTTCGCAAACTGTCCTTCCTGAACAAGCTATACCCCTCTATAGCGAATATTCCAGTCATGAGATTTAGCCTATCAGTCTCTGTGATACCAATTGTCATCATTTGGCTTATGTACTAATCCTTTCAGTTGTTCCTGTTTATTCCCCATACTCCTTCCATTTGTGTATAGGCATCTAATATGTTGAGCAAATTCCCCCATTAATTTCCCTCTTGTTGCTCCTTTGACCCTACAGTAATTTCCCGTGTCCTGCACAACATCTGCCAATCCTGTTTAACTGTGGGGATTTGTCAACTGCCCCTTTGAATCTAGTTTAAAGCCCTCTCTCGGTTGGTGAATCAGTACACGAAGATCCTCTGACCCTTCTTGGTCAGGTGGACCCCATCTCTTCCCAGTAATCCTCCTTCCTGGAACAGCATCCCATGGTTGAGGAAGCCAATGATGCAGTCTCAGATGCACCCAAAATCAGCCTTTGTGTGAGCTCAGCCTGCAGTCATGAGCCAGCAAGGGCTGCGTGGAACATGCTCATAATGGGTACAAATTCTTTTGCCCTGTATGTGGATATCCAGGCCAACAGACTCAGTGTTTCTCCAGTGCATTTTGAAAATGAACTGCATCTCTTGGAACAAATGATGTCAACATGTCCCACTATGACCATTAAACCCACTGGCACAAAACTGCAAAAAAAACCAAATCAAAACAACAATCTCTGATCAAATCCAAACCATGTCTATTAGTTTGTAACAAGAAACGGTACCTGCGGTTGGACCAGAAATATTTTGATGTACAGAGTGATTCTGACACGCTCAAAAAATGAATCTGCTTTGAACCAATGTAGATAGGTTCCTTCAGCGCTGTTCACAACATAAACCTTTACTTATTCCTGAAGAGTGCAATTACAACATTCAGCCACCAGATGTCTCAAAGAGAAATGTTTCAGAGTAGTAGCTGTGCTAGTCTGTATCAGCAGAAAGAACAAGGAGTACTGGTGGCACCTTAGAGACTAACAAATTTATTTGAGCATTAAGCTTTCGTGGGCTAAAGCCCACTTCATCAGATGCATGCAGCTGAAAATACAATAGGAAGGTATATACAGAGAACATGAAAAAATGGGGGTTGCCATACCAACTCTTAGCTCACCTTAATCAATTGGTCTCGTTATTATCAGCAGGAGAAGAAGAAGAAAAAACTTTAGTAGTGATAATCAGGATGGCCCATTTCAAACAGTTGACAAGAAGGTGTGAGTAACAGTAGGGGGAAAATTAGCATGGGGAAATATTTTAGTTAGTGTAATGACTCATCCACTGCTAGTCTTTATTCAAGCCTAATTCAATGGTTTCCAGTTCTGCTGTTTCTCGTTGGAGTCTATTTTTGAAGTTTTTTTGTTGAAGAATTGCGACTTTTAGGTCTGTAATTTAGCGTCCTGGGAGGTTGAAGTGTTATCCGACTGGTTTTTGAATGTTATAATTCTTGACGTTTGATTTGTGTCCATTTATTCTTTTGCGTAGAGACTGTCCGGTTTGGCCAATGTACATGGCAGAGGGGCATTGCTGGCACATAATGGCATATATCACATTGGTAGATGTGCAGGTGAACGAGCCTCTGATAATGTGATTAGGTCCTATGATGGTGTCCCTTGAATAGATATGTGAACAGAGTTGGCAACAGGCTTTGTTGCAAGGATAGATTCCTGGGTTAGTGTTTTTGTTGTGTGGTGTGTGGTTGCTGGCGAGTATTTGCTTCAGGTTGGGGGCTGTCTGTAAGCAAGGACTGGTCTGTCTCCCAAGATCTGTGAGAGTGGTGGGTCGTCCTTCAGGATAGGTTGTAGATCTTTGATGATGCGCTGGAGAGGTTTTAGTTGGGGGCTGAAGGTGATGGCTAGTGACGTTCTGTTACTTTCTTTGTTGGGCCTGTCCTGTAGTAGGTAACTTCTGGGAACTCTTCTGGCTCTGTCAATCTGTTTCTTCACTTCTGCAGGTGGGTATTGTAGTTGTAAGAACGCTTGATAGAGATCTTGTAGGTGTTTGTCTCTGTCTGAGGGATTGGAGCAAATGTGGTTGTATCTTAGAGCTTTGCTGTAGACAATGGATTGTGTGGTATGGTCTGGATGAAAGCTGGACGCATTTGGTAAGTACCGGAAACCTATTGACCGCTATATAGGGTGGTGTTTATATGACCATCGCTTATTAGCACTGTTGTGTCCAGGAAGTGGATCTCTTGTGTGGTCTGGTCCAGGCTGAGGTTGAAGGTGGGATGGAAATTGTTGAAATCATGGTGGAATTCCTCAATGGCTTCTTTTCCATGGGTCTAGCAGATGATGATGTCATCAGTGTTGTCTGATTATCACTACAAAAGTTTTTTTTTTCTCCTGCTGATAATAGCCCACCTTAATCGATTGTTCTCCTTAAGAGTTGGTATGGCAACCCCCAGTTTTTCTTGTTCTCTGTGTGTGTGTGTTTGTGTATACATATATCTATATATATCTATCTATCTTCCTACTGTATTTTCCACTGCATGTATCTGATGAAGTGGGCTTTAGCCCACGAAAACTTATGCTCAAATAAATTTGTTAGTCTCTAAGGTGCTAAAAGTACTCCTTGTTCTTTCCACAGAGAAATGTTTCAAGCAGATCATTCAGCAACCATATCTGGCATGTGTTCATGGTATTAAAACATGACTGGTAACAATGGTTTCTAGAAATTATTGTACTTGTTTTAATCTTGGAAGGTAACTCCCCCTTTTTTAATATAGCTTTATACAATGAAAAAGTTGGCGTGAATGAGCGGAAAAGAAAGCGCAGAACCACCATAAGGTAATACAATACTTCAGCAAATTATGTATTGGAAGTCCTTTTTTTCCCTCAGATCCTTCTTAGGTTTGAAATCTAAGTAATACTTTTCCTTAGAAGCCCTATCTAGAGCTGGTTGAAAAATAAATCCAATTTTGAAAAACAGGGACAAATTTTGTGTGAAAATTTTCACAAAAAATTTCATCCCATTTATCAACCAACTAAGGAGCTGCACCAAAACCTTCAGCCTTTTAATTTTTTCAACAAACCTCCCCCTCACACACTTTTTGTTTGTAAAAAAACATACCCATTTATGACCCCTGGTAATCCCATCCTTTATGACATCCAACTCAGTAATAAACTTCTGTACCCCACTGGCTCCTTATACAGCCTCTGAACTTCCTTTGTGGGAGGTTTGATGATATAGGAGAAATTGCATTACTTCTGCTATAACTTGTGGTGATTAGTCCTGGTGGCTTGGGGGGAAAGCTTGCTGCAAAGAGCATCTACCCCTCCCTTGGCCAGGGATCTGGATCCTGTGGAGCTTCTACAGAGGGTCTTTCACAGGCTGTAAGGAAAGAGGGAAGGGGAATGCAAAGTTGCCAACTCCACATAGCAGGAAGTTGTCAGAGAAACCCTGAAAAGTTGCTGGATGTTGCTATTTTAGCATTCAAAAGGCATCAAAAATGTCACTTCACTAAACAAAATTTCCACAGCATTCAACAGCGAATTTTGTGTGTATGTATATAAATACACACACACACACGCATTGAACATAATACTGAAATAATACATTATAGAATTTCTGTATACATTAATCACTGAAAATGTTTTTAGACTGTAGATCATATTCCAACAGGTGTTTGTCATAGAGTTTTGAAGTGCATTCCATGGCTTCTTGGCTGAGAGGCTGTGAATGAGAGGAAGGGTTTGACTAGAGCTCGTGTTGGCAGAAGAGGTTACTTACTGTAACTGCAAAAAGAAAAGGAGTACTTGTGGCACCTTAGAGACTAACCAATTTATTTGAGCATGAGCTTTCGTGAGCTACAGCTCACTTCATCAGATGCTGTAGCTCACGAAAGCTCATGCTCAAATAAATTGGTTAGTCTCTAAGGTGCCACAAGTACTCCTTTTCTTTTTGCGAATACAGACTAACACGGCTGTTCCTCTGAAACCTGTTACTGTAACTGGAGGTTCTTTGAGATATGTGGTCCCTCTCTGGATTCCAAATGTGGGTGCGCATGCCTGCCGTGCACCAGAACTGTTCAGAGTTGTGTCCGTTGACCCGCACGTGCTTTGTGCATCAACCGCGTGGCACGTCCGAGGCTTTAAGAGGCTGTGTGGATTGACACTGCTCCAGTTCCCTCGCACCAGTAAGCAACGGAGCCTGGAGCGGAGGGCAGATACTGGAATCCAGATGGGGAGCCCATATCTTAAAGAACCTCCAGTTACAGTAAATAACCTTTTCTTTGAGTGATGGTCCATATGTGGATTCCAAACATGGGAGAGTAGCAAGCTGTGCTCAGTGCAGAGGCGGGCATGAGGGCTCACCCGAAGTTACAGGCTGAAGGACAGCTTGGTCAACTACCACATCTGTCACTGCAGCAGGTGCGAGGGCATAGTGGGCAGTAAGTGTGGACAGAGGACCAAGTGGCCTCCCAGCAAATGTCCTGCCATGCAACATCTGTATGGAAGGCCGACATGACAGTTTAAGCACGCATGGAGTAGGCTCCCCGATGGGAGGTGGGGGGGGGGACGGACATGAGAGAGAGCGTAGCAGTCCATAATACAGAGGGAGAGGCATTGTGAAGAGAGGGTGCGGCCCCAGCAGCGTTCTGCAATGGTGAGGAAGAGACAGGATGAAGCGCGGAAGGTGCAAGTGCGGTGCAGACAAAAGGCCAGCGCTTGGCGGATGTTGAGGGAATGTAGCATGTGTTCCCTGTATGAGGTGTGTGGTTTAGGGTAGAATGTGGGGACAATGTCCCTTGGAGCTGACTTTCTCTGTTTTTGCACCTTTGGTGGCCCACATCTATGGAGTTCAGCCCCCCCTGCCTTTGGAAGCAGAGTGGGCATGGGCCCTCTTGTTATTAATATAGGTCATTAACAAAAGTATTTACATACATAAATAAGCAAAACCGGATGGGATAATGACATCAATAAAAATATGAATTTTGATCCAATTATTAGCTAAACATGATGAGAACTGTGCTGGGTTCCCCCCCCCCCACTCTCTGCTAGGTCGTTCCAAACTATGATGACCTGGATAACACCGAGGAATGGCTCCTGTGCACAGATCTGTCCCAATGCCTGTATTAGCATGTATACAATCCCAGTGTCATTGCAAAGAGCAGTCAGTCTTCACAGCACTGCTGCTGATCTGTGCAATAGGGCCTGCACAAATTTTTGTTAAAACCAGCATGACTCTTTCTATGTTATGGGGAGAGTGGCCATCTAGAATAATCTTCAGAGATCAGTGGTGTTTGGAGTCAAAGACCCTTTTTCTGATTGGGGAATAGTCCCAATGAGAGACACCTCTTCACAGGAGACATATCATCTCCAATTCTACTATTACACTCCTGGTGTATCAGTGCTATGCTGGCATCCATGAAACACCTTTAATTTGCAAGCCAATAAAACTAACTGGTTCCTTACACACTATAAATGATCAGTTTTGTACACATGCACACACAGTGCAAGGAAAGGGGAACGCACTCGGTAAGAAAGAAAATGTTCACTGATCCCTTGCGGAGCCTGGGACCCCAGCTTGGGAACCTCTTTAAGAATGAGCTAGAGGAGAGTAGTACCTCTGCACTTCACTCCCATTGAAGTTTTAGGTAGATTTCTTGAGGATAAACTAGAATCTGGAGATGAAAAACAGTGAGTGAGTTAGCCTACTCCAGTGTAGGAGCTTTGTAGGACCTGATCAAACTATCCATAATATGGATGTGAGAAATTATATTTTATTTTCAGCTGTTTGACCCAGTGAAAACTTTATTTAAATACTTATTAGTACAGCTGTGCATCTATGGAACACTCAGCTTTCAGCTAGCTAGCATCAATAACCCAACATAAAAAAGAAAATGCATTACTAATGAAATTACACTAAGGGCAATCTAAAGTTACATGCAAAGTTGTTCATCCGTACTAGAATTTCTGCTGCAGGGTCTTAAACCTCACGAGCAGAAATAAACATGCTTCATATCTAGAATAAAGTGTACAGTGACCTCTTGTGGACAAAAAGGAATGATACCGCTAATGCTAAAACTAGGTGTGACAAGATCAAGCTTTTCATCCTAATTGCTTTTGTACAAGCACATTTCAGGCACTTATTCTTTTTGGAGAATAAACAGCACAAAAAAATTTCACCTATATTCAGCCTCGGTGTCTGAATATGGGAGGAAAATAGCTCTTAACTTTTATGCTGCCTGTACCAGCTGAACCGCAGCACATTTTTGGGTTCTACTGCAATGCAAATAGGCTAAAACTGACTTTTGGGGAGCACGTGATGATTCTTGGGTTGCCATGGGCTATATAAATGCATGAACTACATTTAATGGATTACCTCTAAAATTATAATAAAGTCCTTATTATTTTCAGTGTGGATTGAACATAAAGATACTATCAGATTTTTGCAGCCCATGGCAGCATGGAACCATAATACCCTTTAAACTCAGTGTTTTTACTGAGAGGGAAAGCAAAGCAGTTTCTTGCCTTTTTAGTGCAATATTTTTAATGTTCATATCATTGCAGCTTAGCCTAAAATAGCAGCCATGACCCGAGTCTGTCCAAAGTCACTAACAGTGGCATTTTTATTTATCCCTTTTCCCAGCATTTCTGCTAAAGAAGCTCTAGAGAGAAACTTTGGGGAACAAAGTAAGCCTTCTTCTCAAGAGATTATGAGGATGGCTGAGGGGCTTAACCTCGAGAAGGAAGTTGTGAGAGTTTGGTTTTGCAACCGAAGACAAAGGGAAAAGAGAGTGAAGACAAGTTTACACCAGAACACCTTTAGTTCCATTATGAAGGAGCATCATGAGTGCCGGTAAAGTTTCCTGTGCATAGTTGAGGATTTCTGGGTCTTTAAGATTTTTTTTTTAAAAGTATTGTCGGTTTGAACAGAAACATTTGTTTCCTCTATAAGTTAATTTTAACTGTAACATATCTTCAGTGGGCTTGATTTTAATGTAAAAGATTGGAAACATTGTTACTACATGTATTTGTGTAGGGGAGACTGTTGCTTAGCTGTCAACTATTCAATCTGCATTAAATTGATTGTTAAAAATTTCACAGTAAGTACTATTCATATACCATGCCTTTCTTGCATCCACAATACACTCACTAGTTAATGTGAACTTTACCCAAAAGATCTGCAATGAAATCTTTTGTGTTAAATACAAAGAAGTTACTTATTGGAACTGTAGCATGTGAAAGAACTTGTGTGATGTGCCCCTCACTCACCCAACAGCAATGAGCTTCACAAACCTAGAAAAGCTACAGCTGTTGGGACCACAGAAGTGCCCCTTCACAGCACCAAACATTTAGAGCCGAGGGATGAGGCTGTGAGATCAGTGGCTTGTCCTCCTGCTAAACTTCAGCATCATTGAAGTCTGAGGAAGGTGACCGGGTAATTGAGACAGTTGCCCGTCTTAAAAAACTGCTTAATGCAAACAGCCTTTCTTCTTTAAAGCGGCCTCTACATCTTCCCTCTTGTGGAGTCTAGCTGGTAATACAAACTCATGAAGGTGGGCTAAGTTCTATTAAGCAAGGACTGAGTAACTGCCCTCCCATAGAGAGCATCAAATGTAGCAGCTTGGCAGATTTCTAGGATGGAAACATTACAGAGGCATTTTGGCTGCTGCCTTAGCCCTGGTACAATGAGCTTTAAGACCCTTGAGATACTGCCACCTTTGCTAATGTGTAACATTTCTCAATACACAGCCAATCCATTTAGACAGGTGCTGAGCAGAAATGACATTCCCTTTACACTGATCGCCAAAGGCTACAGAAAGTCTTGCTGACTTTCTAAATGCTTTAAACCTAGTTAAATTAAAACTCAAGTATAAACTCATTTTCCCCTGGAGAGGATGAGGTTTAGAAAAGAACAGGCAGAAATCATTATTTCTAGTCCTCTCTCTTGTCCTGTCCTGCAGAGATGACAAAATGATTTCATAGCTCCACCCCCAGGAAGCCAGGGATTAAGGGGAGTTGGAATAATGTGACTTCATCACTCAAGGGACGGGTGGTCCAGCGATCACTGCAGCAACATTGCTCCCATTATTTGTTACAACGATACTAATTAATGTGTACATATTTCAAGCTTTTTCCCAGGACTAAAATTACAGGAATGCACATTAGTGGTAATGGTAAATAAAAAATTAGTTTTGTGTGAAGCAGGCATGATGGTGATTTAGAAAACTACTAGATAATAGATCCAGAAAGAGGTTATAATATTTGAGGTCATTAAGTGTATCACATAGAACATATCTATGTTGGTGTGCTTTAAATAATACATAAGCACAGCCAGGAAGGGGCCCTAGGCATGTTAAACTAAGGAATATAGTCTCCTGTACTAAGAAAATATATCCTCATGAATGAACTGCATTAGTGCTTTTCTTTTTCTCTTTAGGAGAGGATTCTAAATTAAAACTGAAGGGGGTGGGGGAAGGGAGAGAATATCCCTCTCCCCCTTGCTAATGCATGTTTCATACAGGACTTGAACTATTCTAACCCCCAGACTGTCACAACACTAACACAGATCAGTCATTACTTTACAAAGCAAGAGTGCACTTTCTGGGATTAAGTCTCAGCCTTCACCACCACCCACAGATGCTGTACTGACAGAAATGCCTGTTGTAAAATCATTGGAAAAGTAGAGAAATGAAGGTGATGACTTGTAATTTTATTCCTTGGTTACTTTTGTTTCTTTGTTTGAAGTTTCTTGTGGTGTATTATGCATATGTAGTTAAACTTGCAATATGACAGTTTTAGAGTTTATTTTCTAAATTATTTGCCTGTTTAAAAGGGATTATGAACAACTAACCCTACTCTTTGCCAAAAATAAAGCATTGTTCAAGTAACCTCTAATACCAAATGTAACTGTTCACATTTGTTTGGTTGTGATAGTATTTTGATTTTACCGTAGCTGCTGCACTCTGCTGCTACATGTTCTTTTTTGCATGCTACAGTAGTTACAGTGAATGCATCAGCAGTCAGTCACTACGCTGATGCTCTTGTCCTCCAAGAGTGTTTATGGGTAAAGGACACTTTAAGAAACATGGCAAAACAAATGAAACCTGTGCCATTCTCACATAACGGAAGAGTGAATGGTTAACTACAGCAAGCAACTTGTCCAAAAACATCTGGGTTACAGAAACACCAAAACAATACTTCAGACCACCAGATTGACAGCCATAAGATGTCCTACACCTAGATCCCTGGCCCTGAGGGTTGAAACACCCACCACCACCTTCCTATCTCTAGGGGCTACTGATCACTCTTATCTGGTTTCACCCGCTTCCAGGCATCCTTCCGAAAATGCTCTTCTGATACCCGATCCTTTAAATCTGGGGGACAAGCAGCTGCTGTCTTTAGGTAGCCATATGCATTTGACTTCTTCAGGCTGCATCTCTCACCAACCCCCCCTTTTGCAGGTCATAAGTATTTCTGGCTCCTAATATTTCCCTTTGTAAGGCTAAGGTGATGCCTTTTAACAGTTTATATTAAACTTTGTGGTGGGACAGAAGTTCTCCACTAAGCTGCAGTAGGGTGCCACTACCAATAAAAGATATTACCTCACCCGCTTTGTCTGACTAATGATAAAAGCAACTGAGCTTTGAATTAATTCAATAATTTGAGAGATTGTTTTAAACAGTGAAGGAGCATTGTAGACAAATGATTGATGACATATGGGGCACATAGCAATATCAAGCCCAAAGCAAGAAATACTGGTTTTTGCTTTGCCAAAGGCCCATTTTCACTGACATTTCCATTGTAATTAAGTGCACAGTTTAATACTTACAGCCATACTCTTTGCTCTGATTGCAGTGAAAATAAATCGGGCAGGGCTGGGTTGTGGGAGGGGGAAGGTGAAACAGTGAAGAGGGGAGCGGGACTAGAGCAGGGTCAGCAGTTTTCAGCTACTTTTTTTGTTTTTAGCCCAACAAGCCAGTGCTAAGGTTCAGTGTGTACAGAAACCTCCCCAACCCCACTAGCAACAGCAACAATTATTTTTTTCCAAAACTGATGGAATTCACAACTAATATCCCTCCTAAGTGACATCACAAAAGATTATAACATCCATTACTAGATAACTTACATGTAAGACCCCACCATCAGGACAGCCATTGTGGGAATAAAAGCTTTTATTAGATTTTTACAAAATAAATGGTCAAAGAAAATTCACCCCAAATGTCAGGGGTGTGTGTGTGTGTAGTATGTACACTTGCACATTGCAGATGCATGGTTTGGCCCCATGTTTTCTAGTGAAAACAGCATTCTGTATTTCTACTCCTAGACCTGGGCTCACAAACCGATGATTATAACCTTTATTTCCCTGCTCAGTCCTGCACTGGCAGATGTGACAATAGCAATTCCACTCAGGGCTTGCTTTCCCACTTAGAGACTAAGCGCTCTTTGATTAATGGCTTAAAGTCAGTGCTAATCTATGGACCTGATGATGATACAGATCAAAGACCGTGGAAAACCTTAGAATCAGAGCCTGTTCCTATTATACTGTTATCCAAATCACTTGTGTCTAACCTTAACCTTCTACTGTACAATGTGTAATACCCAGCATTTTCTTTTTTTTTAACCTAAAAGGAGTAATCATAGGTATAAGGCAGCCAAGTCATTCTGATAAGATTTAGATTTCACCTGCCAGGAAGCAATAACATGTACCTTAGTAAACAATGCAGTATCTTTTAGGGGTAAGTACTGTTACGGGATAAGTACTGTAAAATATATACAGTGAGATTTCAGGCAGGATTCCTTTTACAAGTGCTGAAGTCCTTTAGATACGAACTTCAGCATGGACTGCTATCAAGTGTAGATAGCACTTCTCAGAATATTTTGTACCTGGCAATAACGGCCTTAACAGTAGTTACTCTACCCTTCAACAATTAATACAATTTTGAAAAATCAGGCGCATATAGCAAGGTTTTATATACACAAAGGCACAACAATTCTATTGAAGTTAGCTATGTTACAGTACAATACAGTTTAGTCAGTGCCTTCCATGCAAAATATTCACTAAAAATATTTAGTTCAAGCCTCTTCCACTGAAGTTAATAAGAGCTGGATTGCACCCATACCCTTCAGTAAGTAGTACAATTGTCTAAGAATGAATCAAGTCAAATTTACTAAAGACACCTGAAAAACAAAGCTATAATTGCCTATGCTTACTAGAGTATCAAGGTTCTCACTCACCAAAAGAAAAAGGTTATCCCTTTTCAAACTGAAAGCAAGCGTAAAGACAAGATCATAAAATATTCTAAGAACTTTCCATGTGTAGTGCTTTTATAAACACTCCAAATATTATCCAGAGAAATGCTGTCAACAATCACAGGATGACAATTTCAAAAAAAGCTAAACAAATGAAGATCTTATAATTGTTATTTTTCCAAGTCTGCTTGCCAGCTGACATTTTGTAAATTAAAAAAAGCCAGTGCTGCTCAAACAACTAAACTGTGGGGATAAATCTTGAATGCAACACAGCCCAACTTCAGACTTGGTGTAAATGGATGTACCTGTTTACCTTAGATCTCAAGCCGGTGTTCAAAAAATCCCACATGCAAGTTATCTATTCATGTCATCTGATAAAGTAGTTTTTCAAACAATTTCAGGAATTCAGTGCCACTAATAATGGTTCTCCGGCAAGAAATAAGCCTTTTTTGGTGTGAATCATCTTGTTTCTGAAGACTTCAGTTCTCCTTAAAACCAAAGTACATCAGTTGTGTTGAAAAAGTGTACATTTTACATCTGTCTGTAGTTGAATAATTGTTAAAAGGCAGGCTGTGTATTGTCATCAGGCTAATCTACTCCCAAAGCTTTAAGCTGCCGTTCAATCTCTTCATCTGAAATGGTGGTAGTTTTTGATGCTGATGCAGATGGTAAGCCTCTGGCAGCAGATGGTGCTTTGGCCATCTATTAAAGAAACACACAAACTTCGCTGAGTAAAACCAATACACACTGTGACAATTTGACTTCTAGCACAGAACTACAAAA